GTGGTGGTAGCCAATCACGGACGAGTGGGCGTGTCGGCAGCATATGCTGCCGACACTGCTGCGGCCCGTAACTCGGTGGTTTCTGCTGGAGCATTATCTGAGAATGGTGGAAGGGCGTTAAGAGGCCCAATCACACTCTCGGCGAGTGAAGGGCCTAGCCTACCATTGACGTCCGATGACGCCACAAAACCGCATCGAACTCTAGCCATTGTGATCACTGCTTTGAAACAAGCAGGTTCTTCAAACCTACAAAAAGCTGTCGAGCGAATCAGTTCAACACTTTTGTAAAAGGCGGATTTCTGTAATGAAAGTCCTTGGTTCGCAAATCAACTAAGGAGTGATCGCAGGTCGAAGTGGCAATGTTTGGCAAGTCATACACAGAAATAATTTCCGGAAGGTAATTTAAATCCGTTTGTCAAATCCGCTAACCGCTAATCGAACACTGAACGGGAATTATGAAAATTGTTCCCATGCGTTTTGACGCAACCCGAAGTCCGCGGCCGGTAGAGTAATGAGCCCGATGGCCTAATGGTCAGATGCGAATTTTTAGGAGACGTTAGAATCACCCGAAATAAGCGGCACTCTCACCTAACATGTTGAAACCTTGGAACGCCGAAAAAGAGAAGCAGAAATGATACCAGTCAATTGATCTCGACCAAATTAACTAGGATATTAGCATCACTCACCAACGGAGGTATTTCTCATGGCGTCGAACTGAGCGTTCGTAATTAACGCTTTCAGGTCTGCTCCAGTCCATCCATCAGTGCGTGCAGCCCATTCATCACAGAGCACAGTTGGATCATGGTTCACAGATCGCAGGTGCACCTTGAGGATATCAGCCCGATTCTTCTAAATTAAGTCAGTGAGTCACCATATGTACATGTACTTGATATGACATATTAATGACTTCGAAAACAGCTCGTACTTTACCAGGTAGGTTGAAATGTAATTTCAATCATCCTACTAACTATAAAGCGCTTCGTCTGTCGTCTGTCTGTCGTCTGTCGTTCTGTGTGTCTGTCACGAAATTCCCTAGCTCCTCGGGATCCGCCTGGAGGGACCGGGTCAAGTGTGGATGGGTGGGCAAGGTCTCACGAAGTACAAAACACACATCAGCTAAGCGGAGCCCCGCCCACAGTGGGCGTGGCGTGCGTCGAAATGAAGTGTACTGAGACCAAGATTTCAAATACCCTAATTTCCGGTGTATAAGCCCGCGCCGATTTCACGTAAAACCACCCCCGCTCGCGCAGTGTAACTTTGTACACCTTAGAAACCACCGCAAATTTGCCTATAGAGGTAAGTCGATGCCCTGATCACGAAAATGACTTTCATTTTCAGCGCTGGCGCCATCTGGCGCCAGTTGGCGCCACCTTGTCACGACCCTTGTTTTCGTCAAAATCGGTGTAAACTTCAGTATAGGGGTTATTTGGGACCCTGATTACGAATATGACATTCATTATAGGCGCTGGCGCTGTTTGACGCCTATTTTCTGCTCGTCTGCGCTCTCCAACCGAGACATGTGCACTAAACAACGTTAACGCCAAAAACGAATGTCATATTCGTAATCAGGGTCCCAAATAACCCCTATACTGAAGTTTACACCGATTTTGGCGAAAACAAGGGTCGTGACAAGGTGGCGCCAACTGGCGCCAGATGCCGCCACCGCTAAAAACGAATGTCGTTTTCGTGATCAGCATATCGAATTACCCCTATGGGCATGTTACGGTTGACTCTAGATGTACTCAAGTACACTGCACCAGTGGAGGTGTTTTTACATGATACTAGCGGGGGCTTATACACCGGAAAATAGGGTATTTCAAAACAGTTCCGAGTTGAAAAATAGTAAAAGGATGTTGTTTGAATGAGCCAGAGCCAATCAGAAAGAACCCACCCGCAGGTGAGTAGGGCGTTCTCTAAAAAAGCAGTGCTTCTATGAAAAAATTCATAACTCGGTTGGGAGAAAGCCTACAGAGCAGAAAACAAATTTGGTGTAAGGGAGCAATGTCTAAGGTGTTTCCAGCATACATGACGTGGGCGGAGGCCCGCCCACAATGGGCGGAGCGCGCTCTGAAGTGTACAGCATTTTCTACAAGCCCTCATAATTCGGTTCCGAGAACTTAGAGAGCGGAAAAAGGTGGATAGAGGTCAGAGGAGGGGAGGCTAAATGTCAATGGTGGGCGGGCTTGCACAAAAGTGGGCGGAGTTTGCTTTCAAAGCTATAACTCGGTTCTAAAAAGTCCCGGAGACTGGGAAAAAAGTGGATAGAGGTTGGCAGTGGAAAAAGGTTAATTGCTGTTGGTGGGCGGGACATGCACCGAAGTGGGCGGAGTTATCCACGAAATTCATAACTCGGTTCCAAGAAGTCCTGGAGACCGGGAAAAAAGGATAGAGTTCGTCAAGGAAGGGAGGTCAACTGCTACGGTGGGCGGGGCATGCACCAAAGTGGGCGGAGTTTGCGACAAAATTCATAACTCGGTTCCAAGAAGTCCAGGAGGCCGGGAAAAAGGGGTAGAGGTCGGCGAAGGAAGGAGGCCAAGCTGCTATTGGTGGGCGGGGCACGCACCAAAGTGGGCGGAGTTTGCCACGAAAATTCATAATTCGGTTCCAAGAAGGTCCCGGAGGCCGGGAAAAAGGGAGGGGAGAGGTCGGCGAAGGAAAGGAGGCCAGACTTATAATCGGTGCTAGGAAGTTCCCGAGTTAGCGACAAAAGTAGGCGAAGAGAAGTAAGTGAAATGCTAGTAGTGTGCGGAGCATGCGCCAAAAAGGCGGAATTGCCGCCAAACATATTAATCGGCTCAGAGACCGAATTAAACCACGCCTTTTGTTTTTTCAGAAACCGGAAAAAAAGTGGAGAGAAAAAGGTGGGTGGGACATGCAATGAAATCAGCGGAGTTTACCACGAGATTCATAAATCGGTTCAGAGGCAGTCCGGAGAACGGCAAAAAGCGGACAGTGGTTGACGAAGGAGGGAAGGTCAAAAGCCATCGGTGGATGGGGCATGGGACAAGCGGATAGAATCTAGCTTAGAAGTCAAATATTCGTAGTGTATCGGGCCAAATTTGAGAATTTACGCCGCACCATTCCATATCGCCGCAGAACTGTGTTGTGCGCGCAACAGCGTGCGGCGCCAACTGGATGATTGAATAATTACGGAAGAAGGAAACGATTCAGCTGAACAGGGACTTGGTCTGCTAGTCTCCCAGTGTCTTCTATTCAATCTTCAAGAGCAGGATGCTGCTTTAAAGTGTTTCGTTTTCTCTACTATTCCTAACATAATGCATGTCCTTGGCGTCACATGCGGAGGGTCTAGTTTTTTTTTTCTGCCAAGTCTTCCTGAGTTACCGCTTTCTCGGCGGCAGTATCGAAGAAAAATATGGCCTTCTCGGACCTTTGCGTGTGGTGATTAGAGATATATCCTTCAGTGGTCCATGGAACTATTTGCTCCTTCTTGGAGTTTGCTGCATTCGCTCTTATGCTAGTTTGATTTTCCGTTACTTCCTCGGGTGTATCGTCCTGATCATCCTTATTACACACGGAACTGTTTTCCTGACTCTTGATGCAATCCCACCCTCTGTCATATTCTATGTGGATATTGATATTGTTATTCTTGCGCTGCTGCGAGCCCCCTTTGCGGAAGGAATATGCTGAACCACCGGTTCTTTGCCTGCCTGGTCGCTGGCGGCCTTGCTTCTCTGATGCGCTACTGTTCCTTGTTTACTTACTGAAAAAAAAACACTTTGTCACAGCACGGAGGGGCGTTTTTTGACGAAGCGCGAGTTGAATGTTATGCATTTCCACATGAGCGACAATTTCGAGCACACTGTACGCTTGAATGTTGATATGAGTAACTTTTCCAATATGGTCGCTTGTGGACTGTATGTGTTTTTGATACAAAAGTATTAAAAAAGTAATAGTGTCATAATATAAAAATTCCTATAATAAAGAATGGGAGGAGTTTGCGCGGTGAGCGGGGTAGTCAGATGCGTAGCGGAAGGGAATGGATGATGGACGAGTTGTACTGGGGGAAGGGTGCGGTAGGGGGTGTGATATAATACATGAAATGCGAAAAAATAACAACAAAAATGTCTGTCGCGAGGTTGTGGGGCGGGAGATTTTGCGCGGCTGGTACAATGGGGCCAGGACGTTTAAGCCATAACTACACTGCTCCGCATAATTATAAAGCCACCTATGTTTCCTGCAAAAACTTTTTTCCTAAGATGCGTTCGAGGAAGCTTCTATATGGAAAAGGATGTAGGTATGAATGTTCTTTTGCACACCAGCACAAAGTTCCAGCTTTGAAATTTGAAGAGTGTTTTTCTGCAATTTTTCGAAAAGCCGCTCTGACCTATTCCGCATAATTATAAAGCCACCCCATACTTTCTCGTTGCCTTTCCTTCCTGCTCGATTGAATTTTTTTGTTGTTATCCACACTTCGTCTTTAGGTGAAAACGAGAGGGAAACCGTCACCATAATCTGAATAAAGGGAAATCGTAACAAAAATCGTGAAAGAGTTGAGAGGCAGTCGCACTGCCCAAATTTCGGGCCAGGTTCGCTTCACGAGTAAACAATTTCTTCGAGCATCGTGTAACGAGATAACTGGATAAAAATTCGAGCCTGAGATCGTCCCTTCTGACTTTCGACCTTCAGATACCACGCCGTTTTATGAGCAAACAACCGTATCGCATCCCAGTTGAGTCGAAAATCAAACCTTACTTGGAATTCAATTCTCCATCCGGTGTCTGTTCAGCGTCTGTGGCAGAACTGCAGGTTCATTCGCGAGTGAGAAATGTAAAGCGCATTGTTTATGACAACAAAACATCTCAAAAAGTGAGACAGTTTTGTCAAGAAGTGAAGCCGAGCTGACTGGAGTGAGGGCGGTTTTTTACCTGTCATTTCCTACGCCTTGTCTTCCTTTCTCGAAACATTTTCTTACTCTAGATAACTTCTTCTTATGAAGAAGCGTATCCTGGAGATAAAGAACTTTGGAAGAAAGGCAGGTGTATCGTGAGAAATGACAGATAAAAAACCGCCCTCACTCCAGTCAGCTCGGCTTCACTTCTTGACAAAACTGTCTCACTTTTTGAGATGTTTGTTGTCATAAACAATGCGCTTTACATTTCTCACTCGCGAATGAACCTGCAGTTCTGCCACAGACGCTGAACAGACACCGGATGGAGAATTGAATTCCAAGTAAGGTTTGATTTTCGAGCACAACTTGATGGAACTGTTTGGTTTTCTCATGAGACGGCGTGTATCTGAATCCGAAAGCAAAGGACGATCTCCAAGGCTCAATTTTACTCCATATCCTACACTATGCTCGAAGAAATTGTTTTCTCTGAAGCGAACCTGGCCCGAAATTCGGGCAGTGCGACTGCCTCTCTCTCTCACAAC